TATTATTTAAATATATATAAAGTGAATATTTCAGTCAAAGTTTAGGAAAAGTATTAAAAGAAATGTGGGCTAGGAGTTTAGCGTAGGTCAAAGATTACTAATTTTCTCATTTTAAAGCATCATTTTGGAACAGATTGAATTGAAGTCGTACACAAAATCTATCATGGCTGGGTCCATTTGACACATTTCGGTGTTCGGTCGGTCGGTCGGTCGGTCAATCATCTATCTGTCTTTACCAAACTTTTCTTGATTTTCATATGTTAAAGGCGATTTCACGGCCCATGGCCCATTATGGCTCTCCGGAGTGAGGCCTGAACGTATGATATCAGCCCAAGATCCATTAGATCTTGACCCTTGAGCCTGATGCAATATTGTTGCTCTTTTTTATTCGCCATCTTGTGATTTAGTAAATGTTAAGCCTCTCTAGTTTGGAAACCGAGCCCAAATGTTCTGATCAAATCATCTTGGTTATGACGATTTTCATCCCCAGAGAATCACTTACTCCAAAATTAAAAGTTTGGAGCGTAAAATGTTAAAAATTGATTGAGAAAGCCTCCCATTTGTATCAATAGAAATTGTTGACCTCAAAATGTGCTGCCAATAGATGCCGAACTTACTCGTGTATGCGTAAGCTATATCCAATACGTAAAGTCGGATCAACGGGGATCACTCCACAATTGGACGTGGGAGAAGTTCAAATACGCGAGACGTTTCTGTTCGGGTTCCGACAAAATATATAAAATAAGATTGTATAAAAAAATAACCAATCGTTATGTAGGTAGATACAAGACCGAAAATCAATATAAGAAAGTAAAACTAATTGCTCCAAGTATCTAAAGTTGCATTAGCCTTCAACTGTTACATGATGGGGTATTTATAGTAGAGAGTTGATGTACGTACAGAAGCAGCAGAAACAGAAATTGCCAGATACTCATAGCGGGGGGGTGGGTGGGGTTTTTTTTTCAATATTTTACTCACATGGGGCCCACCCCCATGTGAATAAACTGTTGGATTTCTGGCAAATCCATTTCTGCACATATGGATTTGCTGTACATATCTTGGGCAATTGGACAGTNCAATATTTTACTCACATGGGCCCACCCCCACGAGTGTTCTAGCCATTTTCTGGAAAATTCATTTATATACAAATGAAAAATTTGTTTATAGTATTACAAATGAAATTGTGATCTTTGGATGAAATTAGACGTGGCCTCATCCCTACGGCCGAATTATCAAATCCTAGCTATCGTTTTGACTTCCTAACTTTATAAAACATTTAATACTCTAACACCCTATTGACAAGACAAGATAAGGCACAAGTACACTTTCACAGACGTCACATTAATCACTCAAATAAGATCTCTATAATAAATTCAAGATCTATGTACGTGGGCCGTAACTAATTGGAGTGGAGCCTTGAACATGTTGGGCCTCGGATTTGGGCCTCCTCGGCATGTCCACCTCGAATTAATAATGGCCCTCGAAAATTACCATCTGGCCTCGTCTTCTATGACTGGTGGTTCGGCAGGAATGTGTCTACAACTTCACTGGGTTGGTCACGTGGCAAATGCTGTAGCAAGTCATAACAGAAATCATCCTTTTTCTCAAAGGATTAGGACAAAATGGTTCGAAGATGATCCTCTCCCTACCTTTCTAGAGATTCGTTAAGACCATTTTCCTCTTCTCTCTATCTTCTCGGAGTTCAAGCCATAGATTGGCATATGCATACTCTCCAAATATCATTGTTACTTCGCCATTTCGAAGGAATCAAATCAAGTAAAAATTACTATTTTCTTACATGCATATATATTAGGGAAAATTGCAGTCACAACTCACGATGCCAAATCTTTCATTTAATTGCAGATTTTGTCCGAATCTTTCATTTGTGCCATCCACGATACCAAATCTTGAAAAAACCCAGAGTCCAAATGGATGAAAACTGTTAGTTTGATCGTTAGTTTAGTAGAGAATTCACTTTGACCATAATTTTGACTAATTTAAAAAGTATAAAATCATAACTTTACACTTTCTATAATAAAATAATTAAAATAAAATAAAAAAATTCAAACCACGCTTACCCATCCCACTCAAACCTAACACAGTAT